CGCTCAGCACTTCCCTCCTGTCAGCCCCTCTCCTCAGGCTGCGCCCGGGCGGTGCGGTCCGCCCTCATGGACGCACCGCCCGGGCAAAGCTGCAGCCGCCTGAGGCTCAATACAGAGCGCTCGGGCGGCTGCAGCATGGGGGGGGCGGCGGAGCTGGTCTGGCACCCCCCACCCGGCTGGCACCCGGGGCGGACCGCCCCCCCCGCCCCCCCCTTAGTACGCCACTGTCCCCAGCTTTTATTTCACACAGACTAAAGAGATCCCGCCATGCAGCGGAATATGTTTTCCGAATCTGCTCCGGGAGTTACCTGGGTATAGCCTCTGGGAACGGAGTGTCGTTGGGGGAATCTGCTTCCCCCGGGGTGAGGTGAATCTTGTTCCTCCATGTCAACCTCCCCGGGTGCAGCAAGGCCCTGGTGAGGGGTGACTTCGGGGGATACAGGGGCTGCGATGGCTGGGAGTCTAGTGATGGGTGACGTAGTTGGGTGGAACCCCAAGGCCTGGGGGGAAACACCCATGGCATAGGGTTGGTCCGATGTCACGGACTTATCGGACCCGACCACCATGATTGGGCAACTGGAACTCGTAGGGGGAGTGAAGGGGACCAATGCCATGGAGGGGGCAGACGTGGGGGCAGGCTGGGGTGGGCGCGACTGGTGGGTGTTAAGAACGTGAGCGAGGGCAGAGATTGGATCGGAGGGCTCAGGGGGAGGGATGGTAGAGAGGGCTGGAGTCGGAGGGTCCGGGGGAGTGGGAATGGGCAAGGCAGCAGGAGGCGGGGTGGGGGTGGCAGAGTGGACCAAGGATGTGACGGCAGAGATAAGGGCGGATATGGATGTAGATAGATCGTTAGTAGTGGATGGTTCGGGGGTTACAGGGGGAGGGACAGTAGGAGGGGTGGGAGTAGGGGGTTGGGTTAAAGCTGTGAGGGCGGAGAGGAGGGGTGAGAGATCGGTAGAAGGAAGAGAAGAAGGCGATGAAACAGAAGGATGTGATGTGGCAGGGGTGGGTATAGTGGGATGTAGCGGGGACAAGTGGGTGGAGGGAAGGTCAGCCTGGGGAGCGGAAGGGGTAGGGCCTGGGAGCGTAGAGGACGAAGCGGAAATCGTGGGAACGGGAGGATGAGCTAAAGTAGAGAGGGTGGAGAGAAGTGATGTAAAATCTGTAGGAGTGGTAGGAGCAAGAGAGGGGTCGATGGTAGTAGTGGGAGGGAGAACGGGAGTGGGAGAAGCTGGATCAGTAGGATGGGTTAAGGTTGAGAGGGCGGAGAGTAAGGACGTGAGATCCTTGGGAAGGGAAGGAGGTGACGCAGCCTTAGGGGAAGGGGTACGGGCAGAGGTTGTGGGGCTAGCATGGCGGGTTAGTCCTAAGTGATTGGAGAGGAGGGAGGAGAGATCTGCAGGAGAAGAAGGAGAAGGAGGAAGAGAAGGAGGAGGAGAGGGATCGGCAGATGCGGGAGGAGGAATAGGTGGGGCAGAGATGGTGGGCTGAGTTGGGGACGTAAGAGCGGAGAGAAGAGATGAGAAGTCAGTGGGTGGGAGCGGAGAGTGGGAAGAATCTGCGGGCAGGAGTCAAGAGGGGCTGAAACAGCGGGATGGGTAAGGGTTGAAAGGGCGGAGAGTAGGGATGACAGACTGGTGGTGGGGAGTGGGTGAACAGGAGTAGACGTGGACGGGGTAGCTAAGACAGGGAGGGGAGGGGGAGGGGTAGGGACATCTGGAGACAGGGCAGGAGCCGATAGGGCAGGATCCGAGATTGGGGGAACTGGGGCAGTGGCAGGCATAGGTGGGAGGGGTGGAGGACAAGGAGGCGGGGGAATATCAGTGGGTGTGGCAGAGGGAGGGGATAGAGACGGGGTCTGCTCGGAAAGGGGCTGGAGCGTGGGTGTAGGTGGGAACAAATGGAGTGGCACGGGGTAGTAATAAGCACCATCGGCCCCGAGCACGGGGCACAGGGGGGTGGGATTTGGGATCACACCTCCGGGGGGTGGAGTCTGGGTAGTGACGGGGGATGCTGGGCTGAATTAATTGCCACACTCTGGGTGCCATCATAGGGCGGTGGCTGGGGAACAGTGGAGGATACATCGCCATTACAAGCATTCCTATGATACACATGAACAATTTGTCCCTCAAAGTCCAATTCTTCCTCTATCCACCCTTCCCGTTTGAGACCCCTAGCTACTCGGTACCAAGCTTCTACAGCCTTCGTGAGCCCATTATCCAACAACAACCCCTCCTTATCTATGAGCAATTTCCTCCAAAACTCAGGCTGCAACCTCCCACTAGGCGACATTTGGAAACCACACACTTTGGCAATCTTTTTAATTTTCAACATTGCATCTTCCCCTGCCCTTTGCTTTACAATATCACAAGCTAACAATCCTTTAGCAGGTCTATCATGTTCCTGCCCCATCTTGATCAAACAGAGTGAGCCACGTGTGAGAGACAGATATACAGAGAAGAAGAAAGAGGAATGTCTACAGTGCTCGACTGCCACGAGGACTTGAGTCCCGTGCGTCTTCCCCAAATGTAGACTAGTCACGAGGGTCTGCCCACCCGAGGTGGTGGCCACGGACCGGAGCGGGCGAGCGTGGGTGACTAACACAGCTAAGGGGAACAAATACAGGAGAGATAAAGGACAAATGAAAAGATGAACGTGGCAACACTAACCAGAAGGCATTTACAGAAATCACACACATAAAGATGAGTGTAAACCCCAGAATCCAGGACTAGCCACACAACACACACACACACACCGAGGGTACCCACACTATAACAGCAGTTGAATAAAAACCACAAAATGACAGAGAGCAAAATAGCCATGTACATGTTAACACAACACACTGAATATTAAATTGCAACAGTCCCCAGCCCTCCCCACCAGGCTGGTACCCCGTAACACAACCCTTAATGAAAACACAGCACTCCACCTCTCTATTAGGTGAGACCCAGCCCTTACCAGCTACAATGCGTCCCCTGCCCGCTAGGCAGTCAAGCTAAAACCCAGCCCTTATCGGCTGTAATGCGTCCCCTGCCCGCTAGGCAGTCAAGATAAAACCCAGCCCTCACCGGCTGTAATGCGTCCCCTGCCCGCTAGGCAGTCAAGCTAAAACCCAGCCCTCACCGGCTGTAATGCGTCCCCTGCCCGCTAGGCAGTCAAGCTAAATCCCAGCCCTCACCGGCTGTAATGCGTCCCCTGCCCGCTAGGCAGTCAAGCTAAAACCCAGCCCTCACCGGCTGTAATGCGTCCCCTGCCCGCTAGGCAGTCAAGCTAAAACTTCTGAAGAAACCGGTTATCACACTCATTCATACAAATACAGGAGGCAGATAGACAATCGACAGGTTCGTTCAAAAGGGACACCGGATGAGTTAATTACCTGTCTCTAGTAGCCTTCTGGAAGCCGGAAGTGGACTCGGAGACAGACCGACACAAAACAGGAGAATAACACAGGCAACGGCTTTATTATGGAGGTGATCAGGCTCTGCTTGTCCCACTTTCCGGAGGTCCGCTCCGGTCCGTTGGTTTCTGGCCCTCTGAGCCGGCAATCCGGTGGCCCCACATTGGGCACCAATTGAAATGGAAAAATCAACCAATAAATTGATTATTTCTTTGTGTATTTGCCCCTGGCCAAATTAATGAAACAATGCGTGCACGCTCCCTGAAGTAATTCACACCAGACACAGGTTCCAGGTTGTTGAATAACTTGAGGAATGTTTATTCAAAGGGGACGGCAAGTCCCTTTTAAAGCAAAATTACATCATAGGTACTGTCAGAGATAACATGGAATAATACATCAATAATTGGTTAGGTATTAAGTGGTCTTCCTAATGCTCTCCCTACTAAGGGTGATGTCACTGGGACCATGAGGGTCTCCCACTGTTTCCCAGCGCGGGACATTCTTTTAGCATATGACCCTTCTTACCACAGTATAGGCAAAGTCCCTCCTTTCTCCTATACAATTTTTCGGCATCAGAGAGTTTGGCAACCCCTAATTGCATGGGTTCCTCCTCTGATACCTTGAAACTCTCAGGATTAGCAACTCTAGGAGTATTTAATGTAACAAAACGTCTAGTCCTATTTTTAGTATAGAGTCTGTCACGAATGCTGTAGTTAGCCCATTGTTGGTCCAATCTACCTGCGAAGCAAAGGTACGAAACTGAATAGCATAATCAGCAACAGACCTAGAACCCTGTTTAATTCTCATTAATGCCCTGGCGGCATTCTTTGACCTTTTAGTTGTGTCAAAGGTTCTACGAAAAGCCGTAAGGAAGCTATCGAAATTATGCACCATAGGTCCATTAGTCTCCCAAATAGGATTTGCCCACTCAAGTGCTTTATCTGTAAGTTGGTGCATAAAGAATTCCTTTCCCATGTCAGTGGGAAAGGAACGTGGATACATCTCAAAGTGGAATTCCACTTGATTAATAAATCCCCTGCAAGACTTAGCATCCCCTCCATACCTGGGTGGAAGGGTTAAATGTGCAGAAGCATTAGGCATGGTGGATACATCTGGAACAAGGGGTGCAGTCTGTTGTAGTTCTAGATAAGAGTGTTTGGAGGGCCTGAGCTATCTGATCCATACGGTGATCCTGCTCTGTAAATCTAGCCTCATGAGAAGCCAATTGCTGACTTAAATCTGTGGGGTCCATGGCCCTATCGTAATGTCACGGTAGTTTACCCCTACACGCAAGACTTAGTCCAACAATCGACAGATAGAGCAGATATGACTTACCGGACCTTAGAATGCCCGGACTCGCCGTAAAGCAGAGAATAGACAGAGTCAAGAACAAGCCGAGGTCAAGGGAACAAAGACTGCGAGAACAAAAACTAGCCAAGGTCTGGTACACAGAAGTCAGTAAGCCGGCAAACAAGACAAAACAGGGATAGAGAGATAAACGGAGTCAGATACAAAGCCAAGGTCAAGCACGAAAATCACAACTGAACACAACAAGCGCTAAAGGGAACTGAAACAGAAACCACGATAGGGCAGGGAGTTAAGGGAGAGGTAAGTATAAATACCCTAAACTTTACTTTGATTGGCCCCTGTCATATCCACTCCCCCAAAATGTGAGTGTCTGGGGAATGTGGGATGACAGGGGCCAATGGGAACACATTTAATTTTTTGGCCCCCACTGCCCCTTTAAGAGCATGACCGAGACGCACGGCACGCTCTTAGAGCTAGGCGGGACACGTGACCGCATCTCGCGGTCCGTTCCCGCCTTCATTCGAGAGCCGCGCACGGCAGGAAGAGAGGACCTCGGCCGGCCCCCGGGTAAGGTAAGTACCGCTACAAATAATGACTATAAACACGAAGCTGAGCAAGAAAATACATGCACTTACATGCACTTAATTAACAACTGTAAAGGTTAAAACCAAAAATACATACATATGTATTGTTGACCAAAGGTTGAACACAGATACATGAATAAAAATGGCTCGTGGGGGAATTACCAACAGAGGCTCAATGAGGTACGTTGGAAAAGTAAGAAACATCTACAGTTGCCAATCACAGACTGCTTAAACTAATAACACACAAAGAATGAAATGTTGCCATGTTTTTATTGAACACACCATGTAAACATTCACAGTGCAGGTTGTGCTTATCTGGAAATTAGACGCTCTGTAGTCAGCCCGTCTAATATAGGTGGTTTGTGTCAGGCTGAATCTTGGTGTAAATAGTTCATGCTGGACACTGGTGTCCTGTCTTGACTAGCGTGTCTAGGTGTAAATTTTGGTCGCTAGGTCGGGGAGGCCGGCGAGACTAAGCAGATTCTGGTGTACATTCCGTCTGCTATCTCTCAACCTATCTTGACTAAATGTGCTCTGTTGTAAATTCAGCCACTAGACTATTGATAGAGTAGATAGACTAAATGGGTACGGTTGTAAATTCCACCCACTAGTTCGCTATATGTGGTGCTTGGGTAGCGTAGACTAACCGAATCCTGGTGTAAATAGTTTGATAGTTCTCAAGGTGCTGGCCAATTAGAATAGTTGGGATTATTGTAAATGTTGTTAAATATACTGTAGTTGGTGAATTGGTGAATTGTCCTGCTAGAAAGCTTGAGCTCTGCCGTCTAGTGGGAGTGTAAATTGTGTGTATACTGTATAATAGCACACGGTATTATAACCATTAACATGTACTATAACTACTGACGTTTTGTAAAATTACTAAAAACTGTTTTCTTATGTTATATGTGTAACACCATAACTGTTACTTACTGATCTGCGACTTTAAAACTGTACTATAATCACTTGCTAACCGTACCATAACCACTGATTGTAAAGATGATGTTACTAGAATGTGATATAGTCGGTTAGTTAAAAGCTGATTTATAGTGTGGATAATTGTAGGGTTTGATTTATAGTTACAGAGATAAGTATCTAGTGTTTGGTCAGTCTTTGAGAGTGAGACATCGTGATATCACTGTATGTACGAGAATTCTCGGCGTGTTTTCGTGTGTGTGTTTGGCCTAGCAACTGTGCCACGTGGCGCTGTTGCCAGGGAAACAAGTGTGATCGTTGGAAGTGTGTTTGGGGTATTGTGTTTCTTTGTATTAGACACTCCGTTGCCAGTATGGGTGCGTCTGACTCAAAGATTGTTGATCCCTTGTCGTGTATGTTGAACAACTTTGCAAAGGGATATAAAGTTTGTGATTTTGGGGTGAAATTATCCCCAAAGCGTTTGACTACATTATGTAGTAAAGAGTGGCCTATCTTGGTTGACTGCATGGCCTCCACGTGGTAGTTTTGATCTAACTCTAGTACAACGTGTGCACGCGGGTGTATCTAGTAGGCCTGAATTCTATGATCAGTTTCCGTATATTGATTGTTGGAAACAGATTGTGGAAGAATTGCCTTAATGGATTAAGGTATGCCACGAGAAGCAATGTCGCCTCATGGTGGCCAGGACTTGCCTGTCCATCAGGGCCGCAACCCCGCCCATTTTAGACTATCCCTCTGAGTCTGAACTTCCCTCCCCACCCCCTTACTCCTCCTCCAAGGTTAGAGGAGTTGCTGCTGGTGTTGCCACTCCCCCTGCCATAGTGTCCCGGCCCACTCATTCATCTAGTTTAGAGCCCAGCCCTAAGTCCTCCCCTTCCGGTACCTACCTCCACTAGTTCTATATATCTGGAATTAACGTCACTTCTGGTTCCTGGTCAGACTCCTCCCAGCCCGGCCCGCAACATCCTGTTGACTGAACTTCCGCCCAATAAAATGAACCCGCCTCTTTCTCCTTACCTTACTACCTCTAGACCGGAACTTACCATAAAACAGCCTTGCTGAAGTCCTATATTAACCTGAGAGATTACTGGTACCCTTCAAGCCCCTCCGACTTACACCAGGCCCAACACACGTTGACGAAAATGGCCAAATACAACGGGCAGATCCTGTGTTTGTCTATGTCCCCTTCACTACAAATGATCTATTCAATTGGAAGACTCATAACTCTTCGTATACTGACAAACCTCAAGTCATGACAGATTTGGTTACCTCCATTATACAAACACACAATCCCACATGGGCCGTTTGCCAGCAATTATTATTAACTTTATTTAATTGTGAGGAAAGGACCCTGATTAATCAGGCGACTATTAAAGCGCTTGAGGAAACGGCCCTGTTACGGTACCTCCAGTAATAAATGCACAAACCGCCGTTTAGTGAATGCTTCCCGTTCGCAATAATGTGGTCTGGTAGCGTATGCAGTGTAACCATGCGAACCGCCAGCTAGGGAACACTCCAACCTCCCGAACGGTACCTGTACGGCTCTTTCCCTTCTCAAGCTCCAAATGCACGAATCGCCAATAGCAGGCGAACGGCAATAGTTTCCAAGTGGCAAATAATTCCAATAAGCAGTCTCTAGGCGCCGGTAATAAAATCCCCCCAATAACGAGACCAAGCTCCGCTTTGAGGGTAAAACATGAACTGAGTTTACTGTGGGCTACCTGCCCGTATTTATGCAGGTCTCCCACTTGGTGGACACTCCCCTAGGGGACCAAATGGGAGACTGGAATAGCAGATGGACATATGGCATCTCAGGACGTACAGTCACACAATATTCCCAGCATGCATCACAGTTTCCTCCCCTCTGCTCGGGAGATAATTAGGAAGTAATTCAATTATCTTCCCGAGCAGAGGCACATCGCCATTTTAACTCAAAGTTATAAAACACATTAAAATCCATAACTTTAATACTGCCGAACGTATTGCATTTGTATAACACATCCCCAGATAGCCTGGATCTGAGTGCATATTATTGGCGAATAGCGCTCAGATCCCATACGTATAGTTCAATCGCCATGGAGTCAAAGTCTATTACAGTTCTTCGGTATGCGATTGACTCTATGGGAAGGCTATCTGGGTTAAGTCCATTCGTGTTATTAAATCTCCCGAACGGCCGGTATTCGTATGCTTTTGTCGATTGAGAAGGGGAGGTCGATGGCTTCAGCGGTGTTCGGTTGAAAAAGTGTCCGTTTTTAGTTCCATGAAATAATCGTTGAACACCGCTGGGCTCTCGCATAGTCAAAATGGCCGCCGCCTCATGGTCGACATACGAAAGGCGACCACCCGGTATTCGTTTTTAATTGAGAAGTGTCTGTGGTTAACCGCAACGTTCTAATTGGGATCAATAGGTTAACCAGCAGCACACTTCTCTTCTGGGTGGCCGTCCGTTTGGTAGTTCCGTTCGACAAAAAAAAGACATTCCCTTAAACAAAGCATACGAATGGGGAAATTCATACAAACGGCAAAACAGATGAACACAGCAATTCTAGTCCATACAGATGGGTCTGTCACAGGCCCATACTCAAAATTAGGCCAATCCAGCTGCATGGGCTGCAGACGATTATCCAAATGTTGACCCAAATTGGAATGTGAATGGTGCTGACATGCCCCAATTAAGGTCTTATCGGGAAGCCATTATTGCTGGCATGAAGGCAGGAGGGAAGAAGGCAATCAATATGTCAAAGACGGCTGAGGTGTTGCAAAAGGTTGATGAGTCACCTAATGCCTTTTATGAGAGATTATTGGAGTCATATAGATTATATACTCCTCTTAATCCAGAGGCCCCTGAGAATTCTGGAATGATGAACTCAGCATTTGTCAGCCAGGCCCAAGGTGATATTAAAAGAAAAAGTTAGAGGGATTTGTTGGGATGTCCATATCACAGCTAATGGAGATGGCAAATAAAGTATATATGAATAGGGAAACTGAGATAAAGCGGGAGGAAGAACGTAAAATGAGGAAGAAGGCAGATATGCTAGCGGTAGCTATCACAAGTGTAGAGAGACAGGGAAGGAAGGTGAATAAAGGAGTTGAGAATAGGCTCAGTAAGGGACCTTTAAGTAGGAATCAATGTGCGTATTGTAGAGAGGAGGGACATTGGAAGAATGAGTGTCCACAGAGAGAGCATTATGAAAATAATAGTCAAGGAGAGAGAAGAGTGCTGGGAGGTTATAGTGGTAGTTATAG